GAGTTGTTGCTCAAGTTCGGTGGGAGAAATTCCCTGAAAGTTGTGTCGTTTTTAGATCAGTTACAGATCAGATTAATTTCTTGTCTTACTGTGGAGATTTAGAACTTAATAACGGCAAACTAGCTACCATTTAGAATCGAAATTTGTCTACTTCTTTGTCACAATATGCTGGTAAAATATAATACCCTAAATCTTCTATTAGCCGCTTTTTCGCCGCTTAGCCGCCGCTTCTATTAGCCGCATTCCTAAGCCTATGCCACTTTTTCGATACCACTTGCGTGTGCCACTTTACAGGGTGTCTCAAAATTACCCGAACGCGCGCTTAATTTATTTCAAAATGCCAAGCGTTATGTAGAGAATTGTAGACCTTAATCCCTTAATCCTGGCTACCTTTACCTTCTAAAAAAAAATTTCAAGTGTTATGTAGAGGATTGTAGCCCTCAATCTTGGCTACATTTACCTTCTAAAAACTTTCCAATCGGATTTATTCAATTCATTTTACAAGTCCTTGAATACTAGTCGATCCCTACCAGACGCGCTGACATTTTTGACGATTTTCTACATAAAAAGTTGTTCGAAAAAGTTTTTGTCAATAATGGTTTTATGCAAAAAATATCATTTAACATCATTAATAATATTAAAGATAACTTTGAAGTGTTTTGGCTAACCAAAATCAAGCTGGTGACTAACACTTTGAAGACGCAGAGTAAAAGGTGAAATTTGATCATTTTTCGATATTTAGTTCACATGAGTATCTCGTTATATTAGCTTTTAGAGCGCTATGAAATTGTTGGAAATAATTTTTTATACAAAATGCACACAAACTTTAGGATAGATTCCTTTTTAGAAAATTTTTAGGTAGAAAATCGTCAAAAATGTCAGCGCGTCGGATCGGGATCGACTAGTATTCAAGGACTTGTAAAATGAATTGCATAAATCCGATTGGAAAGTTTTTAGAAGATAAATGTAGCCAAGATTGAGGGCTACAATCCTCTACATAACACTTGAAATTTTGAAATAAATTAAGCGTGTGACTACTTTTCCAAAAAGTTGTTCTGATAATTTTGAGGCACCCTGTAATAGAGGGTGCCGGTCAAATGTTCGAAACCATCTAATCAATAAACCCTAATGATGCATCAAAATCAAGGTTGCATTCATCATTTTCGGTGTTTTCGATGGTGGCAGTAGATTCGTCTGTTGAAAATCTGCTGTTGTTGCTGTTGTTGTTGTTGTTGTTGTTGTCTGTTGTTGAAAATTTCAAATAAACAATGTGCAACGCAATTTTGAATGAGAATTTGTTGTCAAAAGAAGAAAGAGACACAAGACTTGTTGCTTTTTTAATGGATAATAAGTCTTTATTCCAATAAACGCTAATACTTAGCGTTACTTCATGACCTTTTCTTTACATAAAGCTGAACAATTGGTAGAAGCATAATTCGAAACAAGAAAAGGGCCTTGGCCAGAAAACCCCCTTATCATGATTTTATGTTTTTTTTTTATGTGTGAGAGCTTTCCAAAGAAGGAAAACCCTTTCGCAAAAAATATCCCTTCAGAAGCTCTCAAACGCAACTTCTGTTGTTATCTCAAAGAAAAGCATTTTGCACGAATCAGCAACATTTCTTGGTGTATAAGTCCGATTGATCGACCAATCGAAAAATCAATTCATTGAAGGATTAGAATGTCAACACTCTTTTCATTTCTCTTTTTTTTGGAAAAACCAAAAGAAACTTTATCCAATTCTTTTTCATTTCAGAATCTTTAACAATTGTCACTATCTTTTTTAGATTTTATATATATTATATTTATTATAGATCGCCATAATGGCCAAAGTGAATGCCATTGGAATCGACCTTGGAACAACGGATTCCTGTGTGGGAGTCTTTGTGAATGGCAAAATGGAGATAATAGCCAACGAGCAAGGCAACAAGATCACCCCGTCCTATGTGGCTTTCACCGACTCGGGACGGCTCACTGGGGAAGCGGCGAAGAATCAAGCGGCCGTCAATCCGCACAATACGATCTTCGGTTGGTTTTAAGCTTTTATTGGGTTGGTGGATATGAATTGGCACGTTTTCTGAAATGAAATTTTTCTTCAGTTAACAACTTCAAATCATGCGTGATACAGTGGTCCACCAAAGTAATGCCCCATTGCCATTCAAAAGTATTTTTGCAAAATTCCTTCTGAAAACATATATTTAAAATATATATTTTTTTCTTTTAAAATACTTTAGAAATTCTAGTTGTTAAATAACTGGATTTTTTTGATTGAGATCCTTCCAATCCAAAGATCGATGTGGAAGAGTGCAATCACCCCTAAAATTAGCTCCACAAAAGTAATGCCCTATTTATCGTTTTCATGATTATTCTTTTTGTTTCTCCTTCTATGAACATTAAGTGTATTCTATTGTATTATTTAGATCCCTGACATGAAAAATCTTGACACTCCGAAGAAGCTCCAAATCGCCAAGGCCCGGGAAAATGGGATACGGGAGAAGGATGTGGCCAACCTCTTCAATTGCTCGATATGGACAGTGCGCCGCATTTTTTCTCGATCAAAAGCCGGCAAAAACCTTCATCGAGGCCTGAAGAGTGGCCGACGACCAATCACAACCATAAAAGAAGATCGAGCCGTGATCCAAATGGTGAAAAACGATCCGAACAAAACATCAACCGATGGAAACCAAATGATGAGGGATCAAGTAACAAGGTTGTATCGCTGGGAACGATCAGACGACGATTAAATCAAGCTGGATTATATGCAAGAAGGGCTGCCCGTAAACCTCCGATGAGTTCTAAGCACCGGAAGCAGCGGCTTGATATTGCACGGACCTACCGAAGTTGGACAATAAGTGATTGGGAGAAAGTGCTATTTACCGTTGAGACAAAAATCAATTTATTTCACGCGGACGGAAACCATCTTATTCGGCGGCCGACTGGAAAGCGATACACACTCAAGTACATTCGGCCTACGGTGAAATTCAATGGAGGCAACATAATGTGTTGGGCTAAGAGCCTTTTTAGTAGTTTGTCACCTGACTGTTTTTCTTTAGGAGCAATGTCACGAACTTCAGTAGGTCCATTAGTTCACGTCAACTCAACGGTGAATGCTGTGGCTTACAAGAACATTATGGAGGCCCCAATGCTGCCTTTTGCCACACAGACGATGCCTCCTGGATGGATGCTTTACCAGGACAACGACCCGAAACACAAGTAAAGGCTCATGATGGGAACGGTGGTGACTCTTAAAAATGGTACACGAGCACGACTTCCGGGCTGGTTTGCGGCAAGTCGAGTCAAATTGATCAATTCGCCTCCCTACTCACTGGATATCGATGTTATCGAGCATCTCTGGTCATTTGTGAAGTCACGACTCAAGGGAAAGAAATTCGATTCGACAGCTGCCTTATGGGTTCACATTCAATTCAACGTCTCTGGGCCATCATCCCCCAAAGTCTTTTGAAGAATCTCGTGGATTCAATGCCGAATCGACTCAAAGAAGTAATAAAAGCAAAAGGAGGACCAACCAAGTATTGATTTAAAAAAATTGTGTTAATTCTTTGCAAATGGGGCATTACTTTTGTGGAGCTAATTTTCAAGTAGCTTATTGTTTTTGTTTTGTACTTTAATTTGTATGTGATGTATACGGATAAATCTTACATTCTTGAAAAGTCGAGTCTTATAGGTAGATAAAAATACCCTACTCTTTTTCTGGAATGTCGATTTTGCAAGGTTTCCTTACAAAACATACTGTTGGATGGCAATGGGGCATTGCTTTTGTGGACCACTGTATTTGTCATTATTTTGTATAATTTTACTGGTAGAAGTCGAATGCCTATCTATATAAAATCTTCGGTTTTGACGCAAACCAATCTGTCAGCCATTTTTGCCCTCTTCTTTTCCCCAAAATGGAATTTAGCAAACCAATTTACACATGTCCGTAGTGGAGCTTATCCTTTCACATAAACATTCTCAATCTTAGTTGAACACTGGAGGCCCTTGTGTCCTTGTAGAAATTCGTGCAACATAACGTGTCGCAAATCTCCAGGTGGTAGATTTTCAATAGTTAGAACAAAGTAAAGTCAAATTCCAAAAATCAAATATGTCGAAAGTGAAAGTCCATTGTCTTCGCAAGAGTGAATGCTCACTTACCTACTTTCGGGACCTAGTTAGAGCATCGTCAACAAATCAGCACCGTCCATTTCAGCGCCGCGCAAAAAGGCTTGAAGATGTTCGTTTCAGCGCCAATGCAATTCTTTTCTGTATACACGTGGTTTTAGTGTTTTTTTTGTATGTTTTCAAAGTTTTGACACGTTTATTTGTATTGCAGCAATAATAACTATAAAATTCACCAAGACAACAACAATTACTTAAACTGAAAAGCAGACAAGGATTTTAGATGCTCCATGGGTGATTTTCCCAATGTACCATTTTTTTGTTTCCGTTGGACTGAGCGGCAGGCATCAAAAGATTCTCGTGTACTTCTTGAACTTCCAACAGTTTTATCGTCACAAACTTTGCCGAACATTTCGATGTGATACTCTAATAGAAAAATGTAAATGATGTCGCAAAAAAGATATCTTCAACTTAGCGTTATAATTTTCCTGGGCTAATTTGTCCATCTCTTTTTACAGCACCAAGAGTTCCACGTCTCGATTGGATGTAGTGGCAATACGTATCAATTTAGAACAACTCTTCCGATGTGGCTACCGTCAAAATTAGTGTACAAATCTAAAAATTTTATAATATTATGTATTGTATAAGTAAAAAAACCCAACCTTAATGGCCTCGTAGACATTCTTAAAAAAATGGAAGCCGCAGTAGTGAAGAATCCGCAGTTTGTATGACGGCCATAAACACCATAAAAACCATTAGCGATAGCAGCTTCCATATCTAAATTTGTGTTGTAAATCACATAGATAAAAATCAGAAACAACGTAAAACAAACCTCTACACCAATAAAAATTTGTTTAAATTCAAAAGGGCTTGCGTAAAAAGTCTCATCCATAAAGCAGCAAGTATTCTGTAAAAAACTATTTGTGTTACATATAAAAATTAGAAAATAGTAACTACCGTAACAAGATTCTAATTCCCCAATCACTAACAAAATAACGAAGAAAACAAAACGTTACCTATACAACAGGAGCCGTTGAAATCGGCGACAAAGTAGAGCAATCGACGATGCTGAAACGATGGCTCCTAAAGATAAAAATTCATCCTTTATAATCAAAAACCTGATATAAAACCTAGAAAACAAAGAACAAAACGTTACCCTCTTGTTTGGCTCCAAGTGTGCTCCTTGTCGATAATTCTCGAGCGTAACCCAAACCTAAACAAAGAAAGGTTACCTGTAAGCTAATTGTAGAAGAAAAATACAAAATAAGCATTTATCATGAAAGTGGCAAATTTCTAAATTTTCCTCTAAAAAATGGATAAACCGAGCTAATCTTGGTAATTTCTGAGCGCTTTTGATGTATAGTGCGGCTACACTCTAGGTGCAATAGATGGGAGTGGGACAAATGCTACCTTTTTTTTGCGCACCCGGACATTTGCGCACCTTGCCCATTAGCGCACCTTTTTTCGCGTTTTAAAAAAGCTCTAAAAAGCTAATATTAACCAATTTCTATTCCAAATGTTGTTTTTCTAGGTAATTTGAGGGTGTCGAATTCAAATTTTGACATAACAGAGCGTGTGGAAGCGAACGGACGGAGTTATACAAAGGGAAAAATCAAAGATTTTCTGTAATATGACCTAGCCGTTTTGTCTTTCAAATTAGTTCCACACGCTCTGTTATGTCAAAATTTGAATTCGACACCCTCAAATTACCTAGAAAACAACATTTGAATAGAAATTGGTTAATATTAGCTTTTAGAGCTTTTTTAAAACGCGAAAAAGGTGCGCTAATGGGCTAAGTGCTGAAAAAGGTGCGCAAATGTCCGGGGTGCGCAAAAAAAGGTAGCATTTGTCCCACTCCCCAATAGATGAAAAAAGGTGCAAAAACATCAACGAAACCATAAAAACATGCAAATACAAGGCGAGAATCAAGAATATTAAAATCTAGTTGCGCTGAAATGAACATTTTCGAGCCTTTTTTTGCACGGCGCTGAAATGAACGTCTTTGGGTCTTTTTTCTGAGGTGCTGAAATGACTCGTGCTGTAATGAAGGCGCGCTGATTCGTTCGCGCTGTTCTAACTAGGTCCCCTATTTTCCACAAACTCCGCTCCCTCATGTTTATTTACGTCTCTGGGATTTAATTTGAAAAAACGTGCCAAGGCATACCAACCAATCTATTAGCAATCGAAAAAGGAAATTGGTGAAAAATACATGTTAGACGTTTTGTTTTGCATTCTTAATTTAAAAAATTTTAGGACAAGTCATACAGTGGTCCACCGAAGTAATGCCCCATTTGCAAAGAATTAACACAATTTTTTAAAAACAATACTTGGTTGGTCCTCCTTTTGCTTTTATTACTTCATTGAGTCGATTCGGCATGGAATCCACGAGATTCTTCAAAAGACTTTGGGCGCAAAAGACTAAGCCACAGCATTCACCGTTGAGTTGACGTGAACTAATGGACCTACTGAAGTTCGTGACATCGCTCCTAATGAAAGACAGTCAGGTGACAAAATACTAAAAAGGGTCTTACCCTTTTTAGTATTATGTTGCCTCCATTGAATTTCACCGTAGGCCGAATGTACTTGAGTGT